GCGTATACTTGGACATGGGGATGTTGCCTTTTGAGAGAAATTCATAACCATTTTAGTTATTGCTGGATGTCTGGCAAGACAGGTCAAACTACATGAAGAAACACAAGGGACCTGGTCTGGAACAAAGTATAAGTAAACTCAAGCCTATTGTCTCCCAACTCTGTTGAACAGGCTTCCTGGTAAGCTTGACATATGCGTAGGTTATTTATGGTTTAAATGGCAATTTTATCTCAAAAAAAAAAAAAAAAATTGTGCTTTGTGACAAGCTTAACTGAAGTCAGGCATGCTGGGATGCCCACAGTGATTCTCAGGGATCACTGAGATAAACGCCATTGGGAAGGAAGGTAGAAGGCAGGTTTTCCAGAAAGGTGATACTGAACTTGAGTGCACAGTTTTTGAGGATGCCACAATGCAGGGAGAGGTGAATTTGAAACCCTGGAGCTGAGACTGTCTTAACAGAGTGATAACCAATGCTCCCTAGGGCCCTCAGTCAGGCTTGCAGGCTCTGGCAGAAGCTGTTTTTTCCATTCAAGAGGCAAAGAGAATACATTTTAGGAAAGTATCTTGAGCCTCAGGATATTATAGCAGGATGGGGTGCCAAACTTTGAACTATCAGAAGACAAAGATTTTCCCTCTTCGAGGTTTCTCTTCCAATCTCTGCTCTGCTCCCTCTGTTCCTGTCCCGTAGTCAATGCTGCCTTTCCCACCCTTGGCTCTGTACTCCCATTTGTCAGTGTTCTGTACAGGTGGCAATATCTGCAAATGGAGATGATGGAAAGCTGGACAAGCCTTTTGGTGGAAGACACCAAAAGAGCACAGCACGTGATGGAAACACAGCCTGTTTTCCTTTTGAAACCAAGACTTTCATCTTACTTCTTCAAGAGGGTGTCAAAGCCCAGAGGAAACATGCTTTCCCCCACAAGGACCATGCAATCACAGCTGGTGAGCCAGCTGTGTTTGCTCAGTCAGGGTCACACGGTGGCAGCCAGGAACACCCAGACCTGCACTTGGCTGCAGATGAATGGAAAGGAGCAGAAGGAGTCGGAAAGAAACAGCTGGGACCTGGTGTTAACACCACAAAAGAAGAACCATGATGCCCACATTCATTTCACCTTTGCTGGCCTGAAACCGTCGCCCTTGGGTGCTTCACCTCTGGCAGCAGTGATGCAGATCCACAGCCTGGCAGGACCCACCTCCCCTCAGACTGCTCCGATCAGGAGATTCCCGTCTCTTCCCAGCCCCAGAGGCAGGATCCCAGGGCATGGTGAGCCCAGAGTGTGACAGGGGAGCGGGGTGAGGCAGGAGAGCGGTGAGGCCACCCTCAGGGATTTGGCCATGAGAAATGACTCCTACGCACACTTCAGAGGCCCCTGAGAAAACTCAAGCCCAGGACGAGCGCTATCACTCTGGGGCTGGGGAAGTATCGTTTTTCCCATTCATAAGCGAAGAAACTACCTGGTAACCCGGGGTGTCAAATGTGAGGTGCCTTGGACTTGATTTTAGAGTACCTGGCTTAGATAGCACTTAATATGCACAAAGTAGAGCTGTCATTGATTTTTTGGTACCATGTCATGGTGCTAATTGTGTTTTAATTCCTCAAAAAGTTTTCTAAGATCAGCTTACCTAAAATATCAAAATAAAAAAACTCTATAATGATGAGATCTGGACCTCTTACTGACACCCTACTTTCTCACTCCCTCTCCTGTATTTTAATATCTTTGAAATAATGTTGGAACACAGTTTTAAAGAAAATTGGTAAATTGGTGAATTTTATTAATAAAACATGACTACAGTAAAATGATGATGATACAAGGTATTTCATCCTTTCATTACTCATCCAGCTGAATACAATTATTTTTGCAAGCAGAGGAGCATAAAAATGATGCCACTGCCATTCAGCTTTTATAAATACTTCTAAAATTTTAAAATTAACAGATGAATGTAATATTAAGTAATATATTAAACTTTTAAAATATCATTTTGATGCTATGACATATTTAAAATCTATATGGAACATGGAAAATACATTTATATCTGTAAAATATAAAAATATATACCATACATAATTTGCTTTATTTTATGATGTTATTGAAAAAAATGATACATTACCAGCTCTTGAAAATTAATTCATTTCTGATTTTTGCCCTTGAAAATACCACACACTTAGAAAAATAAGCTTTATTTGGCACTGTTATGTGTTGTCATTCTCATATTCATGTATTTCTTCTGATGCCCTGTGTTGGTTTTGTGTGGCAAGGTTTTG